ATGTATGAGACTTCTCTCTTGAGTGTACTTGTTGATGAAGATCAAAGTTAGAGCCATTACTGCAGGTTTTTCTACATTCATTATACTGACAAGGTTTTTGATGGATGTGAGATATAGATAGTCTTACCCCAACTTGGCAGGAAGAATCACCTTGTTTGTGGAAATGAGAACTTTTTATCATGGAGTCTTGACACATGGCTAAGTCATTTGCAATTTGTTCCCAGATCTGCCAGCAGGAAAGTTCTTCAAAGGATTCTGCTTCTGAAAGAGTCTTCATCTCACATTTAATCCTCCCTCCTGTAAGAAAAGAAAATTCAAAGACATGGATAAGTGAAAACTTTATTCAGCAGTCCCAGATTCCACATTTAGGAGAGAGCTAGGGGTATCCAGGAGGTATTCAGGTGTCCTTTTCCATTGTGTATCACGTTTCTGATTTGCATGCTAATGGAAATCAAGAGGTGGCCTACCTGGTTCCTCATGTGTCCATACATACAGAAATCCATTAGGCCACACCAAGTCTCCAATGTGAGGTGCAGGTTAGAAGACTTTAAAAAAATTTTTTGATAATAGAGAAATAGAAAAGGGGGTAAAAATGAACAAAAAAGGAAATGATTTTTTTTTTTAAGATTTTTATTTATTTTTATACAAGAACCGGGGTACAGGCCAGATGCGTGGGAGGGTGAGAGGATTCACCAGAGACAGAGCAGGGAACAGAACAGGCAGACCGGCAAAATACACTGCTGAGGGGAGCAGCGGGTGAGACAGGAGAGGTCTGCTGTGCCATGTGGGATTCTCGCCGGCCGGCGGGGATTGAGCCCTCGCTACAGAGGCTGCGGACAGCTTCACAGTGCGGGGCTCAACCACCTGTGCCACCAGGGAGACCTGGAAATGATTTTTTTTAACTTGAAAAGTAAAAAATTGATAATATGATTCAACCTGTTAACTTCTGGCCATTTCTACTGAATTTCAATGTCAGTATAGAATTTTAGTAAACTATATAATTAATAAATAATGTAGCTATGAAAATTATGTAGATACTAAAAGAGGAATCAGAACTTTAAGGAACAGCAATAACAAACAAATACTTTGCATTTTGCATATTTATATATTCAAAGTATTCTAGAAGAGTCTGCAAAACACTTAATCTTATTTTCTTTCTTTTTTTCACTTTGACACACAACTTTATCAGGTGATATGGAGCCTGGGGCCCCACCTGTTGTGGTGCTGTTGGGGGCGTCCAGCTTGGGGCCTCTGGTGTCCTGTTGCCTGAGAGCCGCTTGACATTATTTTCTTTGTAGTAGTACATGCTAAATGAATTGGCTACATTTAGAAACTCTTGCTGACTTCTTGTATAATTTAAATTGAGAAATGTGTTTTCTAAAAGATTTATACTTGTTGATATTTATCTTTATACAAAGATACCTAAAATCTTTGAGATTTTTTTATGAATTCTTTAATTAATGTTTCAAAATGATCTTAAAATTCAACCAGAAAACAAACCACTCAAAAAATGGGCCAAAACCTCCCCAGTGGCGCAGTGGTTGAGCGCTGGGTTGTGAAGCTGCCCGCAGCCTCTGCAGTGCCGGTTCGATCCCCGGCTGCTCCCCGGCCACCGGAGGAGGGTCCCACATGGAGCGCAGACCTCTCCTGCCGCCCACTGCTCCCCTTAGCAATGTACTTCAGTCCTTCTGCCTGCTCTGCTCCCTGCTCTGGCTCTGGTGAATTCTCTCGCCCTCCCGCACTTCTGACTATACCCAGTGCTTGTATAAATAAATAAATAAATCTTTAAAAAAAAAGTTTATTTATGTATGCATACAAGAATGGGGGTACAGGCCAGAGGTGTGAGGGGTGAGAGAATTCACCAGAGACAGAGGGGAACAGAACAGGCAGACTAACTGAAATACACTGCTGAGGGGAGCAGTGGGTGAGCCAGGAGAGGTCTGCTGTGCCATGTGTGTCAGCTCCCTGGCCGGGGATTAAACTCATGCTGCAGTAGCTGCAGTAAGCTTCACAGGTTGCGTCTTAACCCCCTGCGCCACCAGGGAGGCCTTACACTTTCCTATTTTATAACCACTGTCCAGAACAGTAAGGGAGCATAGTCGGAACTCAACAAATGCATGCTGAGTGAATAAATGAATCCTAGTTTGATTTTTTTTTGTCAAGTATAAGTCAAGCCCAGGAAGGAAAACATCTTTTCTAGTTAAGTTATTTGAAACAGGAAGTGGACAGAGAATTAGTAGTGTCAGGAAGCCAAAATACTACCAGAGACAGAGGTCCACTAAGTATGATGCTAAGGAGAAAATCAAAAGTGGCAAGAATTGTTTGGGGGTGAAAAGAGAAGAAGGTAGCTTATCACTGGATCCTTCTGGAACTTTTGAAGTGTCTCATTTTCTGTGGAAAAACTGTAGATGTCGATAAATTGGACTATCAAAACAATTTTTCAAATTGAAAAATCCAGCCCTCTAGTGAGTTGGGAAATAATTTAAAAGGTTTTAATAAACATGAGAGAAAAGCAGGACAGAAACTCTAAGCGCATCACCACTGACAGAAATGGGTCATTACTGGAAATGCCTTACAAAGCTCAGATACAAAAAACAAAACAAAACCAAAACAAAGCTCAGATACATAACATACATAACATGAATTGTGTTGTTTGGTTACCATGAGAGATGAGTTTACTATAGTTCATCATGCTCAAAAAAACTTGAAAACTTTGGTTGTAAATGCCACCCTGTTCTGAAATTGTTCAAATGAAAAGACAAAATCCTAGAGTAGAATTTTGGAAAAAAAAAATTACCAGTGAGTATTTAGGCATTTTAGTTCATGGTTATATTTAACCATGAGTATTTAGGTATTTTAGCTCATGGTTTAACAAAATGGTCCAAAAAAACAGCAGCAAAAAAGCATGTTGCTCAGTGTGGTCACAAGCACTATGTTTCAATTCCCCTGGAATATGGGTCAGGCATGCATATATTATCATGCTTCCACGCCAAGGGCATGTGAGAAAGTAACTGATAGAGGACGTAATTGAAAAAGCATCCTGCAGAAGACAAAAAATGTTCTGCAACATCCTCAGTTTTTCTGGTTTGCACGTGACGGGCAGCTATCTCTATAAACCAGAGACACTGACGTCTCCCATCCATTAACACATTCACTAAGCCTACAAATATTTATAGACACCTGCCACAGAGCAGACTACTGGAGGCACTGAGAAAAATAACAAAATAGGCAAAATTCCTCACTTGTGGGGACTACAACCCAGTTGGGAGAGAGGTGATATTCAAATTAACAAAAATATGTGAAATGTAAGGTAGCATAAAAGAGTCAAGGGAAGATGGCATTTTACACAGAGTGGCCAGAAATGTCTTTTTTGTAAAACTGAGCAAAGGCCTTAGCGATATAAGCTTGGGAGCTGGATTTCACACAAATGAGTATGTCTGGCAGAGAGACACCAGTAAGGACAGAGGAAGGATAACTGTCCTCTACAGAAAACACATTCTAGGGGCCTCCCTGGGAGTGCAGTGGTTGAGTGCTGGCCTGCAAAGCTGCCCACAGCCTCTGCAGCGCCGGTTCGATCCCCGGCCACAGGCGAGGGATCAACAGACCTCTCCTGCCGCGCCCGCTGCTCCCCTCAGCAATGTATTTTGTCAGTCTGCCTGTTCTGTTCCATGCTCTGTCTCTGGTGAATAGTCTCACCTTCCCCAGCTTCTGACTATACCCAATGCTTGTATAAATAAATAAATAAATCTTTAAAAAAAAAAAAAAAAGAAAAAGAAAACACATTCTAACTTTTAGAACCTAAGAATATTTCAGGTTACAAGGCAAAGGGGAATTAAAGTTGTAGATGGAATTAAGGCTGGTCTTAAATTGGAATCCCATCCTCTACCAGGAGGTGGGTTTGATGTAATCATAAGGGTCCTTCAAAGGGAAGAGGGGTGCAGAAAGAAAAATGTGACACAGAGAGGCAGGAAGAAGCAATATTGCTGTTGTAAAAGTAGAGAAAGGAGGCCACAACCTATGGCATTCAGGTAACCTCTGGAGTTAAGAACACAAAGACACAGATTCTCTCCTAGAGGCCTTCAAAAAGAAATGCAACTGTGATGATACCACACAGAACATCTATAAGGACTCTCGTCCGCTTGGTTCTCACCTGATTTCCCATCTCTTTTGATTCCAGTCTTCATCATGCAAAGCTTTTCTTCCAATTCTAAGTGAAATATATCATGTTTGAAGGGGTGAAGCCCTATGAAAATGCAAAGTCAAATATTTAAAATGAACACAAGAAAGGTATATTTTATTGGAAATTTGAATTTCTATTGCTTATCAATTAAGCAAAAGCGGTACTTTACATATATTTTAAAAATAACCTACTCAAACAAAGACTAATACCTAAGACCTTGAGACAAATACATATATATGTATATATTATAAAAACCTATCACTCTCCAATGTTTATTTTCATTAAATCTCCTACTGTTGGTTCCTACATCACACAATTGGCCAGAGTTTCTGCCACATATTAATGTCTTACGAAAACCTCAAATTTGGGGCCTCCCCGGTGGTGCAAGGGGTTAAGATGCAACCTATGAAGCTATCCACAGCCACTGGAGCATGAGTTCGACCCCCCCCCCCAGGGAGCTACCCACATGGCGTGGCAGACCTCTCCTGACTTGCCACTGCTCCCCTCAGCAGGGTATTTCAATCTGCCTGTTCTATTCCCTACTCTGTCTCTGGTGGATCCTCTTACCCCCTACACCTCTGGCCTGTATCCCAGTTCTTGTATGCATAAATAAATAAATATTTTAAAAAATAAATATTTAAAAAAAAAAAAAAACCCTCAAATTTTCTCCCTTATTTTCAGTTCATTGAAAAATGCTGATATAAAAATCAGGTTCACACACACAGGTGACCATATCACAACCCCCAATTTCTTGAATATCTGAGGACACAAAGCCAATCCAGGGGACTGACATTCGGTTAGAGAGGATGCCTGCGCTTACCCACAGAGACCAGATTCCTGAAGGTCTCCAGCATCACATCCCGGTACAACTTTCTCTGAGCAGCATCCAGAAGCCCCAACTCATCCTCTGTGAAGGCCACGGCCACATCCTTGAAGGTCACTGCTTCCTACAACAAACACATACAACCCCGATCTTACAAATAATATTAAAAAGTGGTAGCCCAGAGTAGGTAGGGAAGAAGGAAGAAAATCTGCTCTGGCTCCTGAATAATGTGTTGACTCCCAGCCCTTTTTCCTTCCATCCAACACTGATGGTCCCCAATCTCAGCAAAAGTGCTATAATGAAAAGGAAAGCTGTGTGTGTTACGTGTGTTACCCAGGGAGTACTGTTAATACTAGGGAGTTATAAGTAAGCTGCAACACCCTAAACTAATATGGTTTTACTTTTTCCATTAATATTGCCAACTGCTCCTTACAAATACTGACATATTAGTGCCAACAGTGGTGGAAAGCACCTGCCTTCCACAGAGGTAACTTGAGCAGGTTCCTCACTTTTCACAATCCCTTTTATTTATTTTATTTTATTCAAAGTAGAGATAAAACCCAGTGTTCTCTTTTACAATTCCTCTGAGGTGTCAGTGAAGTCCCAGGTCCTTTAGGGCCAATGGAGTTTAAATTAAGATCCTGTGTGACTCTGATTGAAGAAAAATACATATAGACCTTTTAGCACTGACCCTAATGTAGCATCCACATAGCCACACACCTGAAACTTACATAACGTCATAAACAATGTTACCTGAATTTAAAAAAACACACAGGGCCTCCGCACTATAAAGCAATCTGCAGCCTCTGCAGCACGGGTTCGATCCCCGGCCAGGGAGAAAACCACATGGCGAGGAAGACTTCTCCTGTCTCACCCGCTGCTCCCCACAGCAGTGTATTTCAGTCAATCTGCCTGTTCTGTTCCCCGCTCTGTCTCTGTTGAATCCCCTCACCACCTCATCTCTGGCCTGTATCCCAGCTCTTATATGCATAAATAAATAAATCTTTAAAAAAAAATAAAAATAAAGAAACACACAAAGGAGTGTTTCTATGTCAAGCAGCAGTGTGATCCTGAAGGACTGAGCCACAGATGGATATTCTACCAACAAAATCTGAAGGCACCACATATAATATAGTTCAACTGTGAGTACTAGTAAGCTAATCACAAAAAAAGAGTAGCATGTTTCAGAACTGATTCCTTTTAGGAAAGGTTAAATCAAAGAACTGTCAGTGCAGTGTTCCTAAAACAGTGAAATCCTTGAACTTCATATCTATGAATACAGAATAATTTAATGAACAGGTAATAATTGTGATGAGAACCTGATATAGGAATTGAAAATGAATATACAGAAGCAAAAAAACCGAAGTTAAAGTTGTATCTGTGTTATGAATACAAATACACAGCTGTGGATACATATGATGAAGCAGCTTCAGAAACATGAGAGCAGCTAACTGATGATAACCAGGGATGTAGCAAAATAGAAGGGTTTTCACTTTTATTTGTGAAAACAAGAAACGACGGGATTAGGAAAAATCCTGAAGCCAAAACCAAGTAAACGGAAAACAGAAAAAACTAGCATCTGACCCAATTAAAGGCCCTCAAATGCCTTGACTCTCCTTCAAAGAAAAAAAAAACTTCCGTCCAATCTCTGAGACCTGAGATGACATTTTTCAGCAGCAAGAAAGGCAAGCCCTACTCACCTTGAATATGCTCATTTTTCCTTTTTCCTCCTGGGGAAATGCAGAGTCCGAGGGAGAGAGGCTGGGAAAAGAGGGAAAAAAGTCATGGAAACTGGTTGAGTCAGTCATTAACTCCTGTGGCTGCTCCATGTGAAGCAGCAAAGAGGAAATGCAGTCTGCTCAGCAGGGCCTGGCATGGATACTAGGGGCCCCCTCTCTGCTCCCAGTAGTAGTTCAGGGGACAATCTGTCCACAGTGGCCCCATCACCTGTGTGCCTGCAGTGCACACATTAGTAATTCTTATTCAGGGCATGGGCAACATTGAGACAATATTATGCAGAGTAGGCTCTGGCACTGATATGTATTAGCTGCTCCTCCCATCTAACACGAGTGACTACTTCATTAATAGTGACAAATCCACTATCATTTTCTTTCTCTCATTTATTAGATAAAAATTAGCACAATATTCACTCTTCAAAATCCTTCTGCTTCTTGACAGTATGAAATCCAGAACAAACTATCACTGCTTAAAACTCTCCCCAATTCCACCTAACACAAATCAAAACAACAAAAACTGCCCCTCCTAATAGTCTTTTACTAAGACATCCCACCAATCCCCCTGTTGAATGGGCTTTCTTGCAGCAGTGAATTAAAACAACTAAACCCTTTCAAGGTCTGTTCTTGGTGGTATCTGGCTAATGGCCACTGAGTGCAAATAGGCAAAATATAAACAAATGATGAATCTGGAAAAAGAATATACAATTTTTTTTAGTACTATTTGTTCAAAGTCCAGGCCACCTATATGCATTGTGCTTACTTTGTACTATTTGTGTAAGTTTATAATCATAGAAATAAAAAAATTAAAGGTTTTAGGAAATAGTAATAATAGTAAGTCTGCTGTTGACTATAACAAAATAACTAACAGTAACTACTAGGAGCTACTGGTCAATCTTCTCACTTTTAGCAGAAGTCCTCTGGTAGAAAATAATGACAATGCACCACCCAAATTCTGGGAAAAATATATATTTGCTTCTAAGTCCCTCCATTTTCACAATATTTACCAGCCACCTTCTCCTCACGGCAGGATTTCACAAGGAGATCTGACAATAGACAATGATTAGAGAGGAAGAAAATTATCGGAAGGAGTAAGGCTCTGGTTATTATCCAGCTCAGTTTTTAACCTGGGCCATGCAGCTAGGTCAAATTTCTAAGTCTCAGTTTCCATATAAGTCCCTTTCTTGAGCTTCTTGAATTTTCACTTGCACAGGAATCATCCCTGGACCTTGTTGGAAGGTAGATTCTTGGGTCCCATCTGCAGAAATTCTAAATTACAAGGACTCATATGGATTTCAAGGTTGGCCTTCTCTTCCCAAGTTATGCAAAAACCACTGATTTGTGAACCACAATTTGTGCCATCAGTAACAAAGAAAACAGCCTCTACTAAACAGAAATTCACAAGTAACTACATTCAATTTTTCACAATTTGAATTTTCAAATTCATCAAATTTTTCACCTCTTGTAGTCATGATAACTAAAATTTTTCTTTACATACTTCTGTGTTTTCTGAATTTCCCTTAATGATAAGGTTACTTCCACAATATAAACATTACTTGAAATAAAACAAACGAATCATTAGAGGAAACAATTTCAAAAATTTAACAAATAGCCTAAACCTTACTCTTAAGGCAGCCCACAATCAAGTCCCAACTTCCTTTAAGGATATGATTCTAGACTCAGTGCTAGAATCTCCCAGTGCTCAAGGAGAATACACAAAAGAGATTAACGGACTCAAGTGTTGGACTCAAGACTGCCCAGATTCCAAGCCCAGTTCTTTCTCCTGCTAGTTGGATGAGTGGACAAATAACTTATGTTCCCAATAGCTCAAGCTCATCTTTAAAGTAGAAAAAAAGCAGTACTTCTTATAAGGCACAGCGTGACATAGTGCATGTATTTGTGCAGCCCTCATAACTGGATTTAGCAAGAAATCACCCCATTTCGGAACACAGGTCCCACACATTCTCCAAACGATGTGCCTCTCTTAGACGAATGCCAAATCCTACTCGTGTGGGACTCCCTGGCAGCTGCCTCCGTGCAGTGTTTTTTGAGAAAGTAGGCTGCGGGAGGAAAAGAGGTTGTGAAACGCCAGGATTGTGTTTCCAGCCCCAGTAAATCGCTGACGTCTCCCGGTGCCAACTACACGCAACCCTTTTCTCTCCAAAACAAATCAGAAAAGGTCAGGAGCATCCAGCTTCCTGGGTTCCCCGGCGCTCACCGCGAAAGGGGGGCTACGCAGAGAGACCCAGTATTGCTGACAACAATCCATATCCCGGCAAGTCTGCATTTTTCTTTTGCTCTATCTCCGTTTCGCTTCACGAGATCACATTCTGAAAGTGTGGCTTTGCCTTTTATAAAAGAGCAAGGAAAGGAACAGAGGGCTGGCGAGTCGCGTCAGGGGTGCACGGAACCCCGGGACCCTCCAACCCGCGAAGCACCCCCCGCCCCCGCCCCCGCCCCCCGGAGGGCCCAGTGCAAAGAAGGGAACCAGGGGGCTAGTCGCCACCCCCGGCCCTCAAACCTCCGCTGACGGCCGCTCCTCCCCTTTCTCCTCAAACAAACGGCCGTTGGCTTTTGGCCCCGGACGCGTTTCGGGGAAGTTCGAAAATCTGGGTCGTGAACACCCGCCCTGACGCACCACGACCGAGGGAAAGACGATCACTGCCTCGCCGTCCTCCGGGGGCGGAAGTGCCTGTGGCGCCCCGGGGCGTCTGGACTACATTTCCCAGAATCCCCCGACGCAGCGCTCCTGGAACGCAGGTGCCTGAGCGCACCTACGCTTCCCAGAATGCCGCGGTCCGAGTCGCGCTTTGCACGGCAGCTGCGGTGTGCGCCAGGCCCCGCGCTCCCCAGTGCTTGTCCCCGAAGGGCAGGCCGGAAAGGGAACACCGGCTTGGGCGCTGCTCTTCTGCCTTACACTTCCCGGAACTTGGGGGCGAAAAATCGACGCAGCCACGCCCCTTCATGCGGAAATGTCAAATCTCCCGGAGCTACTGGTTTTCACTTTCGCGTGTCCCTGAGGTTCCAGGCAAATGTCTTGCCATTCTAGCTTGTCGGCCTTAGGGAGTGTAGATTCTGCTTTTGGAAAGGCTGAAACTGGATAGTTTTTTCCAGGGGCTAAGCGACATACATCCATTCCCGATCATAGATTCTTTTTCTTTTTTAATCTTTTTTAAAAGATTTATTTATACAAGCACTGGGGTACAGTCCAGAGGCGTGGCAGGGTGAGAGAATTCACCCAAGGCAGAGCAGGGAGAACAGGCAGAAGGACTAAAGTACACTGCTGAGGAGAGCAGCAGGTGAGACAGGAGAGGTCTGCTGCACAATGTGGGTATCTCCCCTGGCCGGCAGGATCGAACCCACGCTGCTGAGGCTGCAGACAGCTTCACAGCGCTGCAGTCAACCGCCTGCACCACCAGAGAGGCCCCCATCACAGATTCTTCTAGGTAACCCCAGGGAACTCTCCAAAGGAGTAAGCGCAAGAGGGAACTGGGCCATCTTTGTGGGGACTGAAACCTAAGGTCGCTTTGAGATTAATTAAAAGAAGAATGTGTTTTCTTGGCATCTACTTACACCTTGCAGAAAGAAAACCCTTTCCCAAGAAAGATATCCTAGGCCTCACGTTATTTTTGTAATTTTTATTTTGTAATTTTAAAACCCAAGTAAGTACTGTGACTTATTTTTGATTGTGGAGCAGTCCAGATGCAAGAAGTCCTTCACTTAGGAGGAATATCTCAACACATCCATACCACTGAGTGCCTGGAAACTTTACTTAAGGTCCATGGTCCTCACTTCTGGGATTTATAACACTTTCTGGTGGGCAACTATCTCACAGGTACATCTACAGAAGTTCCTACCTCCTGCTCACCAGTTCTAAAAACGACAATGTCATCAATGTGCCAACTGAGGGCCAGTATCCTGTCATTGCAAACTGATTGTTCCCTTTTTAGTGCAGTCATATTGTAGCATAGATACCTAATAGGGACTCTGGAGAAAAGCTTAACTCACACATTTTCTTAGTGTAGAAGTTTCCTTCCTCCCTTCATTCAAGGAATTCTGATTTTGTAAACTGGCCATGTCTTAGAATTGATTTAGGAGCTATGAGTCTTTTTTTGGCTCAAAAAAGACTTGAACCGAAAGTTCAAGTTAGAACTGATCCATCAACCTAGATTCTACGTCCTGTGCAGATCAAATAACAATTTAGTAGACTTTTCATCTGTCTATTTACTGGGGGACACCAAAAACAAGAAAATGTCAAGAAGCCAATGCATAATGTATTGAAGCTTTGAGGTCAGTATGCTTAAAGTTAGAATTTGAGGCCATGAGCTCATCTTTTTCCTTTTCCACTTTCTCCAGCACAGTTAGGAGCAACCGGAAAATACCATTATACTCCTTTGTCTGACCAGTATAAGATAATAATTCAGTTACTCCATTGTGAACTTTTTGATGAGGTTGAACCTGTGATTTATTACTAAGTATCTTCCACACACTTCACATGTGTATGTTTTTTTCTCCCCTGTGGACTCACTGATGGTCCAAAATATGTGACGAATAAGTACCATTCAGTTGTGACTGGTGTCACTTCCATCCTGGAGGTGAAGCCTGGTGACAATTATGTGGATGCTGACTTTGTAAAAAGCAAATGGGATGTGGGCCTCCCCCAGGTGGCGCAGCGGTTGAGCGCTGGGTTGCAAAGCTGCCCGCAGCCTCTGCAGCACCGGTTCGATCCCCGGCTGCTCCTGCTCCCCTCAGCAGTGTACTTCGGTCCTTCTGCCTGCTCTGCTCCCCGCTCTGGCTCTGGTGAATTCTCTCACCCTCCTGCACTTCTGACTGTACCCAGTGCATGTATAAACAAACAAACAAACAAATAAATAAATAAATACATGCCTCTATATATATAAAAAAAAAAAAGCAAATGGGATGCACATAAGTAAAGCATACAAAATTAAGGCAACTTGTAAATCGATTGCTCAGGAAACAGATTTTTTTTCCCACTTGTGGGGGAGAAATAAATATCAGAATCCTAATTTCCAAAACTAGTTCTCCCCCAAAATGAATATGGCCACTACAAAGGGCACCGGGAAAACCACAGGGAAGGCATGATTCTCAGTGTTCATAACCACAATTCTTAGGAGTATCACTGGGATTTGGGTCCAGTCACACATGTAATCACACTAAGAGCATCTCAGAAAGTAAAAATCAGAAAGGCAACCATCTTGAAAGAAGAAATATTCTGTAGTATCTTAATTCTTCTGGCTTAGGGATCATTTATTAGCTGTCTCTGCGAGTGATGAAGTGACTTGGGGTGAAAAACAAGCATGAAAGACTATGTAGTGGTTTCTCACGAGGGTGTGGACTCTGAAAACTGAAAACATTTTGGAGACAGGAAAGTTGGACTTTCACATTTGTCTCCCAAGTTGAAAACTACAGACCTTTAGTGAGCTGTGAAATAAGTTTAAAAGCTTATAAAGAATTCAGAAAATAGAAACAGGATAGAAATTATCAAAGCATTACTCCCAGCAGAAAACAAATTAAGTCTGTCCAGCCATGAACTCATTCATATTTACACACATCCACCATGTTCCAGGACTATTTTAGACACTGATGATACAGCAATAGATAATAAAAGTGTCCTTTGGCAGATTATATTTCACTGTGAAGAGAGAATTGATAGACAAAAATATGATATAAGGCAGGGCAAATAAAGATAGGATTTATTTGTAGGGGGTGAGAAGGCCTATGTTATGGGGCAGAACTAAACAGGCACCTGAGGGAAAGGGTCCTCTCACTCCAAAATACAAATATAAAATATTTGCAAACCACTTAACAAAGAACATGTATCTATAACAAGTGAACTCTCAAAAGCCAAAAAAAGTCTACCAAAGAAAACAGGTATATGGATAATCATAGAAAGATGCTCAAAACAGTAATTAGGGAATTGCAAATTAAGAACAAAATGAGATAATACTGGGCCTCCCTGGGGGCACTGTGGTTGAGAGCTGGGCTGCGAAGCTGCCCACAGCCTCTGCAGCGCCAGTTTGATCCCCGGCCACCGGCGAGGGTCCCACATGGCACGACAGACCTCTCCTGCTGCACCCACTGCTCCCCTCAGCAGTGTACTTCGGTCCTTCTGCCTGTTCTGCTCCCCGCTCTGGCTCTGGCTCATTCTCTCACCCTCCCGCGCTTCTAACTGTACCCAGTGCTTGTATAAATAAATAAACAAACAAAATGAGATACTACTATGTACTTATTAAAATGTCAGAACTAAATAAAAAACAAAACCCTGGTGTGTGGCCACAGTGGGAATGCAAATTGGTAAGTCAATTTTGAAGTGTGTCAGGTTTTCTAAAAGTCATAGTCTTACCGTAAACAACCCGGTAACCCTATGCCTGTTTCCTATGACAATGAAAACTACATTGATACACAAACCTGCATGCCTACATTTACAGCTGCCATTTTCAAAACTGCTAAAACCTGGAAGCCCAAATGCCCTTCAAGTCATCAGGATGGGTGCACTATGGTACATCCATGAAACAGACCACTACTCAGCAATGAAAAGAACTACTGACACATACATGAAAATGGATGAATTGCAGAAGGGAAAACGAGAAAAGCCAGATACTGCAAATCACATATTACACGATTCCATTTAGGACATTCTCGAAATGATCAACTATAGACAGGAAACAGATCAGTGGTTGACAGCCAGGGGCAGGGTGGGGTGGGGAGAGAGGCTGACTATAGAAAAGTACAAAGGAATTTTGAGAGGAAGGGGCTGAAACTTAAACATCTTGATTGTGGTGGTGGTAACATGACAATAATCTTTTGCCAGAACACAGTGACTCCCAAAATCAATTTTACTGTATATAAATTATTCTTAATTAAAAAAAAAAACTATTAGTGTGCAGGACTTTACACAGATGCCTTTTATCTTACTGAGGAATTATCATGGATATTGAATTTTGTCACATGCTTTCTCTGTATCTACTATGAGCATATATTTTGATCAAAAGATTCCAGATGTAGAAGAGTACATACTAATCCACAAGAGTACACAGTGAACCCATATGAAGCTCAAGAACAGACTGAAATCATCTGTGGGACAGAAATGATACTTGTTGCCACAGAAGAGGGACTGACTTGGGAATGCACATGAGGAAACTTTATGATTTAATAGAAATATTGTGTACATTAACTGGTGATTATACAAAGTATAGACATTTGTCAAAATTCATGAAGATAGAAACTTCTGGTTTATGCATGTTACTGCATGCAAAGTATACCTCATAAAGTACTGTTGGCATCAAAAAGTGTTCACAACGTGGTGAAATGGTTTCTAGACTTACTAATGGGTTACAACCTTCGGCTTGATAAACGCTAATTCACAAGAACTGCAGGGTTGGGAAAATGAAATCTTGTCTAATAGAAATGTCTTCCAAGTCTTGTAGAATTCCTCTTCTAAATACAATTTTAAGAAATTGTTACAGATGAACTTAATATAAATTTCAAATGGCTGTTCTCTCTTTCACTCATTTAATAACTACCAAATACCTACAACGGTTAGGCACTGAAAAGGCAGAGCAGATTTGGCAGTCAAAGTTTCTACCCTGTTGGAGTTTACATTCTAGTTAGATACTGGTGTTTCCATCTTAGTACTTGTGGTTAACTCCAGAACAAACTTATCTTCCTGGCCTCTTCTTTGTCCTATCTGCTAAATGTCAAGGTTCTGAATTGTCTTTGTCTCCACACTCATGAAGCTTCTCTGTAGTGTGGCCAACTAACCACTGCGACATGTTGAGTTCTGGCTGAAATACTCTTTTGTAAAACATATGTTTTGACTGCTTGGACCAAATCTGATAATTGGACTGTTTCAGCACCCATTAGAATAAAACATTTAATTTTATTGAGCTTCTTTCCTGTATGAGTTCTCTGTTGAAGGAAAGTCCTTATCACCCTCATCATCAGCATGGACTCGCTGATGAATTATAAGACTTGAGCTCCAACTGAAGCCCTTGCCACACTCCTCACATTTGTATGGTTTTTCTCCAGTATGAACTCTTTGATGGGCTTGAAGGTATGAGCTCCAACTGAAGACCTTTCCACATTCCTCACATTTGTAAGGTTTTTCTCCAGTGTGGACTCTCTGGTGGGCTTGAAGGTATGACCTCTGCCTGAAGCGTTTACCACATATGTCACATCGGTATGGTTTCTCTCCCGTGTGGACTCCACGATGAGCCAGAAAATTTGAGGCCCGACAGAAGCCCTTGCCACACTCCTCACACTGGTATGGTTTCTCTCCAGTGTGGCACCTCTGATGGGCTTGCAGTTGTGAACCCACACTGAAGCCCTTCCCACACTCAGCACACTGATATGGTTTCTCTCCAGTGTGGACTCTTTGATGCACTTGAAGACTAGAGAACTGACTGAAGGCCTTACCACACTTCTCACATTTATAGGGTTTCTCTCCTGTGTGGATTCTACAATGAACATTAAGATCTGAACTCCGACTGAAGCCCTTCCCACACGTATCGCACTTGTATGGTTTTTCTCCAGTGTGACCTCTTTGATGGGCAAGAAGATTTGAAGCTTGGCTAAAGCCCTTCCCACACTCTTGACACTTATAGGGTTTCTCTCCTGTATGAACTCTAAAATGGATGTTAAAATCTGAGCTCCGACTGAAGCCCTTCCCACACGCATCACATTGATAGGGTTTCTCACCAGTATGGCCCCTCTGATGGTCCAGAAGATTTGAGGCCCGACAGAAGCCCTTACCACACTCCTCACATTTGTATGGTTTCTCTCCAGTGTGGCTTATCTGATGGGCTTGAAGGTGTGAACCTACACTGAAGCCTTTCCCACACTCCTCACATTTATAGGGTTTCTCTCCGGTGTGTATTCTACAGTGAATGTTAAGGTGTGAGCTGTAACTGAAGCCCTTGCCACATGCATTGCATTTGTATGGTTTCTCTCCAGTGTGGATTCGCTGATGAGCCTGTAGTCGGGAACGCCAACTGAAGCCCTTCCCACACTCTTCACATTTATAAGGTTTCTTCCCCATGTGGATTCTCTGATGAACTTGAAGATATGACCTTTGACTGAAGCCCAGCCCACACTCCTCACATTTATAGGGTTTTTCTAATGTGTGGACTATGAGAGGAGCTTGACAATGGGAGCTTTTCCCAACCTGCTTCCCATACTCCTCACATTTGTATGGATTCTCTGCAGTGGGGGTTCTCTGAGGATGATGAACATGTGACCGCTGACGTGCGTGAACCTTACAGGATGTATCATATTTGTATGATTTCTCTGTACTGTGGACTCTCTGATGGGCTTGCAGACTTGAAAGCCGACGAAAGGTGTTTTCACATTTTTCACATTTATAGGGCTTCTCTCCTACATGGGCCATCTGGATAATTTGAAGATGAGAGTCCTGAATTATATCTTTGTCACAATCCTCCCCTTTGCAGGGTTTTTCTCTAGAGTGAATACTGTGGTGAACTTGAAGATACAAACTCTGATTAAAGCCTTTACCAAATTCTTCATCTTTATAGAGTGCGTCACCTTGTTTTTCTGACTGAGAGCTAGTTCCTTGAACATTTACTATGTAATCTTGACATCTGGTTAATTCCTTTGTAACCTGTTGCCAGATTTGTAAGCAAAAAAGCTCTCCATGTGGCAGGTACTTTGATCCTACTTCTTGAAGAGTCTCTATGTCATTTAGAGTCTTGTCTCCTAAAAGGATAAAGAGAAATTTAAAGATGGGTCATGTGAGTGTTTTGCTCAAAAATGTCCAAGCTATAAATCTAGGCCCACATCCTAAGGTTTAACTGAACCAGGAGAAGGTTCCATTTTTTTTAATCATGTTTTATGTTCTGTGATTTACATGCCTCCAGAAACCAAAAGGTGGTTTACCAGGTTGCCCTTCACTCTGCATTAGTGAGTTCCATTTAGAAATGTACTTTATGAGTGAGATGTAGGTTAAAAATCTGGAGACTACAGAGTGAAAAAAATACTACCCAGGGAATTTTTACAAAGACAAAGCTGCACCTTACTTACTAGTCATCTTTTGTAGCAGGCGCCTGATCAGTAGCTTCCACATCAGTCTGTCACTTATAGGGTTTGCATATATGACCAAAATGCTCAATATGGCCAGTAAAACACTTAGAGAGAGATTACCAGAAAAGGTCCCCAGGGAATGTTGAAAACCTTGTTTTGACTTATTTTATTGAAAGTTTACTCCCAAGTTAGGGGTCTTTGAGGCACTGGACTGGAAAGATACATGTTAAGAAAATACTATCATCACCTACGTGCCTGAAGTTCAGAGTGTAAGCAAAGTAGTCCCTTCACCTTCTATTGGGAAATAGCCTTCAGGAGAATAATTGGGGGGTGAGTTTTACATTAATTGTATACATCATTTTAAAAGTGTCAAAGCAATTAAAGTTCCTATAACCTCCAGGAGAAAAAAAAGTGGGGAAAAAAAATCAAAAGCTTATTTTTTACGAAGAAGTAAATAACATGCAAGGAGAGCATAGTTGGCTCCTTATTTCTTTTCAGGTCACTCTTCAAATAACATCTTATCAGTGAGGCCTTTCTTATCATCCAATATAAATAATAAATTCTCTTATCTTCTCTATACCCCTAAAAATTCCTGTTTACTTTACTCTATATTTTTACATAGCATATGTTACAAATAACACAGTATAGATGTCCTTTATCTGTTTTAAATGTCTTCTCCCACCTGAAGACAATATCTGTGAGGAAAAGCATTTTATATTGTTCATCACTTTATCCCCACTGCCTGACAAAGGGTAAATATATGCTGACTGCATAAAAGACTTAAGATAAATCCCTTTAACTTCTTTGTGTCCTATTATAAAAGTAAAATAGCTTTTTCAAGTAAGTTGTCCATAAAAGGAAGGAGATTTGAAAAAGCAATTTTGCTGGGAGTTGAAAGGCTTCCCCAAGTACAGGACTAAATTAAATAAATGGATGTTGCTGATGAGAAAATCATGTTCATCACAAAATCATGACAAGAATTATTAGGGGAGGAGGGAACGTAAGGAGTGTAATTTGAAGTATATGTGCATGGTGAGTACACACAGCCAGGTGTGAAAAAAAGGGGATCTCTTTTGAAGACCAGTAAGACACTGGGGAGCAAAGATCCCCAGTATGAGCACAAAGGGAGTAGATCTATGACGCAAACACACCACAGTCACATAATACAGGCCCTCACCCAGTGACAGCAGGTTCCTAAAGGTCTCCAGCATCACATCCCGGTACAGCCGCCTCTGGGTGGAATCCAGCAGCCCCAGCTCCTCCTCTGTGAAGACCACAGCCACGTCCTTGAAGGTCACTGGCTCCTGCAACACCAAAAACACACACTGCATCTAAATCTTACAACAAAGATCCACTGAAAGAAGGTTGGCACTGAGCAGAGGGAAAAGGAAGTACAGGAAGTGGTTCGGATCCTCAGAGACCAGAGTCCACCTTATTATAACACAGTAAAACATTCCAAGTAATGCATGTTATATTTTAGATTTGTTTCTTTTCATAATCGATGCTGAAAAGAACAACTTTTTACATAGATAACAGTTCCTCATCTAATTATTTTCTCAGGAAAAGTTTGAAGAAGTAAAAATTGTAAGGTCAAAGATGATGCAACTTCAAAGTTATTTTGCATGATGACAGATTTTCAACTTTCCCCCTGTATGACCCTTCCACCAAGAGAACGTAAGTATACTATACCATGCATGACACTGAACCTAACCAATGTTTTAAATCCAGGCAATCCGATCAGTAAAAAACAATCTGTTTTGGTTATTTGTACTTACTTGACTGTTAACAAACTCTTATTTTTATATATTTGTTGGCCATTGTTAATTTTTTTTAGTACCTTGCTTGTTAATGTACTCTGCCCCATATCCCAACAGGGTTTTTGTTTTTGTTTTTTTTTAAATAGAGGCATGTTTTATTTATTTACTTACTTGTTTGTTTGTTTTATTTATACATGCACTGGGTACAGTCAGAAGCGCGGGAGGGTGAGAGAATTCACCAGAGCCAGAGCGGGGAGCAGAGCAGGCAGAAGGACCGAAGGACACTGCTGAGGAGAGCAGCGGGCGGCAGGAGAGGTCTGCGCACCATGTGGGACCCTCCTCCGGTGGCTGGGGAGCAGCTGGGGATCGAACCGGTGCCGCAGAGGCTGCGGGCAGCCTCGCAACCCAGTGCTCAACCACTGCGCCACCTGGGAGGCCCCCAACAGGGGTTTTAACTCAGTTAAATGATTCTGGAAAATTTCTATTAGAAAAGTTCTGGAAAATTTCTATTAGAAATGGGAGTTTTTGTTTTTTAGCTTGTATATTATAAGTATTTTCATGCATATTTTAAAATTGTGCCTACGCTGCTTCATATACAATGTGGTTTCTTGACCTCAACATACAGACACTTAGGGTGAGATAACAGTTTGCTGCAGGAGCTGTCTCATGCATCATAAGATGTTCAGTATCCTCTTTAGCATCTGCACACTAGAAAGCAGTAGCATTGCCCAAATAGTGACAGCAAAAAATGTTTTCGACATTGGCTGGGGGCAAAGTTGCTTATGATTAACTATCACTGGTCACAGAACTGGCTGCACTTTTCACATGAAGAAGGGGTTCATCACCCCAGCCTTGCACTTCCAGGTGCCTGAAATGAGCAGAAATCATAAAGAAAGGGCCATCAAAGAATGATGAGGTAGGGACAATATTCCCTGAAGTATTTTCTCCCCACCAGGACAATTAAGCACTATAGAGAAAGGGCTATGCCTGATTGGAGGATTTTTCCTCTTGCATCTCTTTTTAGCCAAGCAAAAATCCTAACAGTCTTTTTGGATCCGCTGGATCTTTCAATGTGAACTTAGATTAGTTTCTGAAATTCTATAATTCTGTTTCTTTGGAATTTAAATATACAGATGAGACAAGATTTGTCTGGGATTAAATGCAATAAGAAAAGTATCTGGGGCCTCCCTGGTGGCACAAAGGGTTAAGACGCAACCTATGAAGCTGTCCACAGCCACTGCAGCATGAGTTCGATCCCTCGGCTGGGCAGGGAACAACCCACATGGTGCAGCAGACCTCTCCTGTCTTGCCCACTGCTCCCCTCAGCAGTGTATTTCAGTCAGTCTGCCTGTTCTGTTCCCGACTTTGTCTCTGGTGAATCCTCTCAGTGCCCACACCTCTCACATGTACCCCAGCTCTTGTAGGCATAAATAAATAAATCTTTAAAAGTATCTGGCAAGTCCTCTTACACTACTGTACTTTTAACATTATAGTGCATTATTACTTTGATGAAATAAATTACTAAAAGAATGGAAAAAAATTAGTAAATAAAAACACATACATGACATGACTCAGATATGGCTGAAAAAAGCAGCTAGCTTTTTTATGTGAAAATATCTCTCACTATTTTCTCATGTGAAACATGAGTTAAATTCTTTTGCAACATGCCATATTTGAATATTCTGTGTACAAAATTCCTGAGGTACAGCTTATCAAAAGTACTTTTTAATTTAGAGTCCATAAAACATTAATAACAAATAATGGCAATTTTCCAAATCCTTTCTGAGAAAAATGGCTATATTAGGAAAACTACTACTACAATGTTACTTAAAAACAGCAAAATTCAACCTTGTTTGTATCTTGACTAAAAAATAAAAACAAAAAAAAACCTGTAAAAAAGACATGTTTAGACAATGGGAGAGGTTAAATATGGATTTGGAATTGCTTAATTTCTAAACAATAGTGGCACAGCTGTCAGGTATGGTTATGTCTTTTCATTTGAGATGAATATTGAAATATTTAAGGGTGAATAGACAAGGTATCTGAGGTTTTCCTTAAAATGCTTTGACAAAAAAGGGGAACAGATGAACCAAAAATGTAAAGTAAATGTGTTTTGGAGGATAGTTGTTACCTGGAAGATAAATACACAGGACCTACTAAATTCTATCTTTGTACATATTTGGAAATTTTCATGATGAGAGTCAAGAATAAAAGATCTTGGGGTTTCTTGATTAAAAAAAAAGTAAAAATTCTAAACTTTCCAAATGTCCATGAATGAGGAAAAGCGCCCTCCCTTCCTCCCTCTCTCTCTTTCACATACACACACACACACACACACACACACACACACACACACACAGAGTACATTAACTCTAGCAGATATGATGTAATCAATAAAGATGGTAGGCTATATATTAGAAAAGGCATAAAATGCACATTAGAAAAGTGAAAATAGTTGTTTTGTAAGGAAAACAGTAATAAAATGGGAGATTTTTTTCACTGCTCTTGACTTTTTTCCTACTCTTATTTGTGAAATTATAAAATGTGATTAAACAACAAAAGTCAAACTGCACTAAGATAAAAAGTGGTGGTCAAATGACAGAGAAGAGGTTCCTAACATCTACTGTTCTCTTCAGTCCTTCCCAAGAAACAAAAACAGAATGTGTCCAAAGATTGAAAAACTAAGTGACAATTTAAAATTGTGAAAGGCAAGCCCAACTTACCTTGAACTTGGTCATGCTGTCTTCCTCTTTCTGCAGAGGGCTGAGTCTGAGGAAGGCACAATGAGGGAAGGAAAAAAAAAAGCCATCAGTCTGGTAAGGCTCTGGCTAGGCTATAAGCTGCTTTATGCAAAACAACAAGGCTGTTCCTTCCTCAGGGTGACTAGGAGAGCAGAGGTGGGCTGGATTCCTACACTACTTACCCTTGAGCTGAGAGTTCTGTGCAGCAAGTGACCTCTTAAACACACACAGGGGTCCTGATCACAGCTCTCCTTGTAGTTCCCAGGCTATGATTCTGATTCTAGAGAGCATGGAAATTGAGATAAAGAACGCAGGTGATAAGAGAAATCTAGGGGCTAAATGCTAAGTACATGACACTGCTACTTATTAGCTGTGAAATCTTTCACAAATTAATACTATCTCTGTGTTTCAATTCTTTTATCTGTAACACAGTAGGATTAACAATGCCTATCTTACAAGAATGTTGCAGGAATTAAACGAGTAGACAGGAAGCTTGGAAAACACAGGGAACCTTATTTCTGGGCAGTGGCAGCAAAGCAGGTGATATATAGTAACAGAAAACCTGTTCTCTGAAATATCTTACTCTTCTCTTTGTCATAATTAATTTGTTGCTTTTGCAATAATATTAAAGATTAGACGGACAACTGGCTTTTTTTCTGTGCAAAATATATGAAACTTAAAACTTATCCCATTGTCTGGTGATCTGCCCTTGCCTCTGGGAAGCACTATTCTACTTTCTTTATGAACTTGACTATATGGACAACTGGCTTCCAAATGTTGGAAAACCTTGACAAATTTGCTTTGTTAACAGTAGGGCCTAAAAAAAGACTCCATCATGCAGATGATGAAAAATATATAAAAGCCTGTGACTCTGCAAGATTTATTTAACTATAAATTAGGTAATCAGTATGTCACTTAACAAGTTAGAGTAATCACAGTAATGATAAAAACAGTAAAAATGAGAATGTTTAACACTCAATAAGCTCTAAATACATACCAGGGACTTGCCAAGCACTAAGCATGTGTTGCTAGAAAGTTCCCACGTACCTGTGCCGAAGTGATTGCTGCGCTGGTCCAATCACCTAAGCCTGTGAGCCTATCCTCACCCATAAAAAGGGAATAAAAATGGAATGTTAGTCAGAGGATTATGGAAAGAAACACATGAGCTAATTTATGCAATGCCCTTGGCTAGTCCCTGGCATTTTAGGAAGTTCTCAATAAATGACAGTGATTATGATGGCTGTTCCCACTGAACAGAAGAGGAAGCTGAGGCTTGGTGAGATCAAGAGGCAGGGGCAAACCTGAATCCAGTGCTCACACCAGAGCCAGTTTTCTAGATCTTGTCTCTTTTCAAGAGACAAAAATAAGCAGACGGAAGTTCAAGGTCTCACAGAAAGAGAAATTAATCTGTCTCAGTGAGTCTACATAACTTCTGCCTTTTTCCTAATAAAAAGCAATCACTGCTCTCTTCCTTTTTTGACCTAGAAGAAAGTAGTGTGAGGGTCTCATGCAGACCTAGGTTTAGCAGAAACATTCTCCACTTAAGAAACTCATTTTAACTTTCAGAGTAAGTTAAAATGTCTGTCATGTGACATTTCCCCTTCTCTGTCCTTGACACCCCAGGTCCCAAAATGTTCCATTATTTAGAATTAACAACCATGTGACTTCTTCCAATCTGCAGAAACCAGTGGCCATTTTACACTCTTGTGCCTACAAATCCCACCTACCATAGGTTCCCCTGCCTGATCATCTATTTCCGAGGCCATTCCTGTGTGGCCCTTCAAGGTGCATGGTGCCATCCTGTGACGACTGTGAGTCTGTGACTAATAAACCAATGCAATCCCATCTGTCCAGTGGTGGGTGGCTTCTGTTCAGCCATCTCATATTATTTAGGGCAGGCAGTTCGCCTTAGGAATTGGTCAGAATGGTACCAGAATCAACTAGAAGCAACTAAAGAACACGAGCCCAGATTCATTCAAATAGTATAGGCCAGGGTCTTCATATTGTTCACTAAATTTTCCAGATGATTCTGATATGACCAAAGTTTGAGAACCACTATTCTATTATTCTATTGTGTGTCTCAAGGAGTTAACTGAACTGCCCAGGGACACTCAGGGAGCCATGGGCAAGGATAGGCCCTAATTTCTCCTTATTTCTCTTCATTCTAAGAGGTGTTTAGAAGTATAAGAAGTTTAAAGGTTCTTAGTGAGTGATAAATGTTCCAGGAAGCAAATCTCAGAGTTACCAGGAGGACTTCCATTTAGACCAGTGTTGTCCCACAAAATGTAATATAACCTACAGGTCTAATTTCAATGTTCCTAGTGGTCACTTTAAAAAGAAGCACGTGAGCTTAATTTCAATCAAATTTTACTTAACCCAATATATCCAAAATATTACACTTCAAATTGCAATCAATACAAAAATTATTGCGATGTTTCACATTTTTTCCCAAAGCAAGTCTCTGAAGTCCATCTGTGTCTTATTGCAGCACTAACACCAGCCATGTTTCAAGTGCTCACTACTCACACTGGCTAATGGCTGTCCTTCTGGCTAGTGTGGATTTTTTTTTAAAAGATTTATTTATTTATTTATTTATACAAGCACTGGGTACAGTCAGAAGCGCGGGAGGGCAAGAGAATTCACCAGAGCCAGAGCGGGGAACAGAACAGGCCGAAGGACCGAAGTACACTGCTGAGGGGAGCAGCGGGCAGCAGGAAAGGTCTGTGTGCCAAGCGGGACCCTCGCCCAGTGGCTGGGGATTGAACCCGCGCTGTGGAGGCTGTGGGCAGCTTCGCAACCCAGAGCTCAACTGCTGTGCCACCGGGGAGGCCCTGGCTAGTGTGGATTTAAGACCTTCTGAAAGCAACAGAGACCACACAGTCATCCCCCAATGTCCAGGTTCAAAAGACAGCAAATTTGTGTACATTGGTTTTAAGAGTAAACAACAGTTATTAAGATAACTATCCATTTTTTTTCCGGTGTATGACAGAATTGAAGTATCAAAAGTAGAAGGTGGGGGTGGAAGAACACCTTTAAATATATTTTGCTGCATTTTTCTTGTTGGCTACTTATCTATAATTGATAAAGGACAACTTTGGTCTTTATTTTTATGTTTTTTTTAAAGCTTTTTATTTTTTAAAGATTTATTTATACAAGAACCGACAGGCCAGATGTACAGGAGGGTGAGAGGATTCACCAGAGACAGAGAGGAGAACAAAACAGGCAAACTGTCTGAAATACACTGCTGAGGGGAGCAGTGGGCAAGACAGGAGAGGTCTGCCCTGCCATGTGGGTTGCTCCGCAGCTGGCAGGGATTGAACTGGCATTGCAGAGGCTGCGGACAGCTTCACAGCGCTGCGCTCAACCACCTGTGCCACCAGGGAGGCCCAGGGTCTTTAATACATAGAGGATTTACTTTGTGCTGGAAACAACTACAAGCATTTTATAAAACATATCTCTTTATCTTCATAAAAACTTTGAAGGAGGTATTATCCTGACTTGAAAAGAAACAGAGGCACAGAAAAGTAAAAAATGTGCCTAGGGTTATACAGTCACTGAGTGCAAAGCCAGATTCCGAACCTAGCTGCTGAGGTGTGATCCCACCTTGACCCCTCACTGACTGTGTCATGAGGTCATTTACCCCACTGCCTGTGTTTTTTTATTTTCAAAATAAGAGTAATAATAAAATTGCTATGAAAAATGAGTTAGTACATGTAAAGAACTGGAAATTCTCCAAATCCTAAGAGGTATCCACTAAATGTTAACTAGTTTCATCATCCCCATGCAAAAACACTTTGTTTCTAAGGAAATCTGTTTTGAATTCTAACATTTTACACAATTGTACATCATCTTTTGAAATCTATGAAGTTGGTGGACTCTATGGTTCCCCAAAAGTGAAATAAAAGACAAGGCCTTTGTCTTTGTACTTTGTTCTCTAATCCCAACTATGAATCACACTTACTCAATGAAGAACTCCTATCTGCTGGCCTCGTTCTGTGCACTGTGAGGAAAACAGGATGAGGTCCATGAAACAGCAGTCTAATAAGACACAAGAAACCAAGAGCTGGGCCTCCCTGGTGGCACGAGGGGTTAAGATGCAGCACTATGAAGCTATCTGTAGCCACTACAGTATGAGTTCGGTCCCCAGCCAGGGAGCTACCCAAATGGCGCAACCAACCTCTCCTGTCTTGCCCCCTGCTCCCCTCAGCAGTGTATTTTAGTAGATCTGCCTATTCTGCTCCCCACTCTGTCTCTGGTGAATCATCTCACCCCCCACCCACAATACCTCTGGCCTACAACCCAGCTCTTGAATGCATATATAAATAGATCTTACAAAAAAAAAAAAAAAAAAAAAGAAAGAAAGAAAGAAAAGAAAAGAAACCAAGAGCTATATACTGGGGGCAATTGCAACTCCAAAGGAGCATAGTCATCATCTTCCTTTCCCTAATTGCAACTCTTTGCTGCAGGGGTCAGAAAGAGCCAGTGACACTTTGAAGAGCTTCCAGAGAAAGGAATACTTTTCTCGTTGTTATAATGGTATTATGTATTAACGGCTAATACCTTGCCACACGCCTGAACTTTTTTAAACATTTTATTTGTCTCATACTATTATACTATACTGTATTTCTCAAATGTGTCAGATAAAAACTCGTATCCCCCATTACAGAAAAGGAAACTGAGGCACAGAAAAACTAAGTTCTCATCCAACATTACACAGGCAGAAAGTGACAGCGCGTGTGGAAGGCGTGGAGGTACATGTGGGGCAGCAGAGCCCGGGAGACCCTCAAATTCTGCAGATTCCTAAACCCCCCCAGAGGCTCGGCAGAGGGGAAGGTAAGCGGCTGCCCCCGCCCCTCGACCCCGCCCTCTGCAGCTGGCTTGGCTTTTCTTCCCCGTCACCGAGGGCCGGGACTGGCTGACCCCACGACCAGGTCAAAAAAGTTTTTTAAAAGGTAGTGGGGTCCCGGGGCGCACTCACCTCCTGGAGAGAAAGGCAGGCCGCGATCGCAACCCCCTATGGCGGAAGTACCTCGGACAACGCGGACCCCTGGACTACATTTCCCAGCATCCTCAGAGCGGGAGAGCCACTGCCCCGCCCCCTGGGGCGGAAGGGGCGGTGCCACACCGAAGGTCTGACTCTAAGGCTCACATCAGCAATAGAACGGCGTTCGTGTTCTTGCCTTCCGGTAACGAAGTACTTCCACACACGCAGAACA